CCACTTCGAACTACAAGGATGCTGGGAATAAAGGATGAAGATTTGTCTCCATCCACACAAGGAATAAGGGCCTATGACAATACTCGTCGCCAAGCTCTTAGAACCGTCACCATGAATGTCACCGCAGGAGTCATTGAACATACCTTTTTTTTTCAAGTAGTAGACATCAAGGCTTCATTCAATCTATTGTTGGTACGCCCTTGACTTCATGACCTTAAGGCTGCCCCTTCATCTCTCCATCAACAAGTCAAGGCTATAGTTGGAGGAATTCCTGTCACAATCGATGCTTCCCCTATGAGAATCAAAGCAATGGATAAACCCATCTTTAATGTGCAGCACGATGAAAATGATGAAGATTTATGGGGCTTTATCGGCGAAGAGGTCTCTTTTATTGAGGGGGATGAAAACACCTTTCTTGACTATAATCCCCAATCAAATCTTGTAGTTAACGCTATCCTTAAAAGACAAGGACATTTTCCTGGAATGACTCTAGGAAAGAAGAAAGAGATAGCTAAACGTATGGGACTACTTGGCCTCCTTAAATTAGATACTTTTGGACTTGGTTTTGAACCAACTCTAGAAGATCTTAAGCGAGCCCGGGAAAGAACCAATGCACGAAAGACAGCTCGTACTCAGAAAAAGGCAATCTCAATGGATCACTACCCTCTCACTCTAAATGGAAAATTCATAAAAGAGGGAGAAGATTACCCATGCTACGAATTCCCAGAACCACTTGTCAGAAATGGGATACGACAACCAGGGTTTGAAATCTTCTTAGATTGCAATTTTCTAGACGAGATCCCAGCTCCTATTTACAAGGAACGAGTACCTCCATGCTTTGACTTTAATATCATGGGTCTCCTCTTTGGGTACGAGAAAAATGAGCCTAAGCGGGCCGACGACAATTCCGCGCTTATCCAAACAGTGTTACAAAGTGAAAACTTTGATCCCTCCAAGCTCATAACTCCAGCAGAAGGACTACTCAAGGGATGGCGCAAGACCGTGAAGGTGACTACACAAAGTGGAAGAAAGATATCCATAACCACTGGAGAAGGACCCATGTTTGATGAGTCTGAGTCGTCTGAGTTACAGTCAAAGTCTGAGTCCGAGTCCGAGTCTTCTATTGATAAGTCCCCTAAATCCTTAGCAGTTGCACCTTTTTCTATCCCACCTATTATAGCACCTACTCCTAGAACAATTAGTAGTCGAGTCCCGTCAGACCTATCTCTTTTTGATGTAATGATTCAAGAATTCAATAATATGTCTTCTTCCTCTTACTCCTCGTGCTTTTCCCTTACGCAAGATGACGAGTATTGCTTTGCTAAAAATGAAAATGATAAAGAAATAATTAAAGCAATGGAAACACTTGAGAATAAAATAGCAGTCATTGAAGAAACTGAAACAGTTAACATCTCAATGGATCCTACGTTAAAAGAGAAGTTAAAATTACCTTAACTCTAAGTCAAGAGGAAAGAACCCAACTAATTAATCTACTTAAAGAATTCATCGATGTTTTTGCCTGGTTATACAAAGATATGCCAGGAATAAATAGAGAAATTGCTCAACACACTATACCACAAATTCCGGGAATGAAACCAGTAAAACAAAAGTTGCGTCACATGAAACCCGACGTAGCTCTTAAAATAAAAGAAGAATTTCAAAAACAAATAACTGCAGGTTTTATCAAAGTATCCAAGTATCCAGAATGGGTCGCCAAAGTGGCACCAGTTCCCAAGAAGGATGGTAGAGTAAGAATGTGTGTCGACTACAGAGATCTCAATAAGGCAAGTCCAAAGGATGACTTCCCCTTACCACACATCGATATCCTAGTAGAAAATACAGCCAATCATGCACTTCTCTCGTTTATGTATGGGTACGCGTGTTACAATCAAATTCTCATGGAAAAAAAAGACATGGAGAAAACAACTTTCATAACACCATGGGGCACTTACTGTTATACGGTAATGCCATTCGGGTTGAAAAACGCTGGTGCCATGTATCAAAGAGCAGAAATTGCCTTACTTCATGACATGATGCACAAAGAGGTTAAAGTCCATGTAGACGACATGATTGTAAAGTCAAAGGATCGCCCCGAACACCAAACAACCTTAAGAAAATTCTTCAAAAGGCTTCGGAAATACAACATGAGGCTGAATCCTTCCAAGTGTGCATTTGGGATCACTTTAGGAAAGCTCTTAGGCTATGTCATTAGCTCTAGAGGAATAGAGGTAGATCCCACTAAAATCAAGGCAATCACGTCAATGCCACCGCCCAAGACCGAGAAGCAAATTTGAGGATTTATTGGTCGGTTGCAGCATATTAGCAGGTTTATATCAAAGCTCACCACGATATGCGAACCAATTTTCAAGAAACTCAAGAAAAATGTACCAATAATATGGGATAACGAATGTCAAGAAGCCTTTGATAAGATCAAAGCCTACCTTGCGAATTCTCTTGTATTAGCACAAGCATTGCTAGGCATTCCTCTTCGCCTCTACTTAACAGTTACCAAGGAAACAATGGGAGCTATGCTCGCACAAGAAGTAGAAGGAAAGGAAAACGCCATCTACTACCTAAGAAAAAAGATGCTCGAGTACGAAGTTCGCTACACACCACTTGAAAAGTTGTTCCTCGCACTTGTGGGCCACAACCAAACTAAGGCATTATATGCTCGTCCATACAGTCTTTGTAGTATCTCGAATAGATCCCCTTAAGTATCTCTTTAGAAATACACACTCAATGGAAGAATATCCAGATGGATAGTCAACTTAGCTCAATTCAAAGATTTATGCCCCAAAAAGCCATCAAAGGATCTGTGGTCTTGGATTTCTTAGCAGGCTTTCCCATTGAGGATTCAACACCAACACAAGGGGACGATTTCCCGGATGGAGAATTATAGGTCATTGAGGATGATACTTGGATATTATATTTCGACGACGCACCCAACCAGAAAGGGTATGGTGTAGGAGTCTTATTAATATCACCTAAGGAAGAACATGTCCCAATCTCGATCAAACTTGACTTCGACGTTACCAACAACGCTGCGGAATACGAAGCATGTGTGGTAGGCCTCGAAACAGCCTTGGCATTAGGAATGAAGAAGCTTTGAATATTTGGAGATTCATCCCTTATAATTAACCAGATTTCCAAAAGATGGAAGGTGAGGAGTGAAAGCCTATCTCCATACCAAACTTATTTAGAAACCCTCACCGATCAGCTTGAAAAAGTAGAATATACATATCTACCGAGAGAAGAAAACCAATTTGCTGATGCCTTGGCATGACTAGCCTCAATGGTTAGAATTGCTATGGAAATTGAGCAAATGCCTTTAACTATAGAGAAAAGGCACAAACCCGCTTATATTCAAGCTATTGAGGATGACGAAATAATTTAGGGAGAAGAAGAAGAAGAGCCCTGGTATACAGACATCCTCAATTATGTCACCAAAGGGGAATATCCACCTAATGCTGACAAAAGAACAAAGCATGCCTTAAGACTATTTGCATCACAATATGTACTTATAAACGACGAACTCCATAAAAGAGTACCTAGAGGCAGAGCTCTCCTATGTGTGGACAAGAAGGAATCTCAAAGGGGGATGAGAATCATCCGCGAAGGAGCATGTGGAACACACATGAAAGGCAAAATGCTAGTCCAGAAAGTTATGTGTCAAGGGTATTACTGGACTACCATGCAAAAACATTGCCATCAATATGTGAAAAGATGTGCAACGTGCCAAATATATGCTAACTTGCAACACGTTCCACCGTCTCTCCTCTACACTTATACATCCCCATGGCATTCTCAACTTGGGGAATAGACATCATTGGAAAAATCACTCCCCCTGGAACGGGAAGTCATGAATACATTCTCGTTGCCATTGATTATTTCACCAAATGGGTTGAAGTATCATCTTACGTAAAAATCACCGCAAAACATGTGGCACTCTTTATTGAAAGTAACATCATATGTAGATACGAAGTCCCACATGAAATGATAAGTGACAATGGAACCCACTTTCAAGTTGAATGTGAAGACCTACTTCAAAAGTATGGAATTCAACATCACCACTCCTGTCCATATAGGCCTCAAGCAAATGGTGAAGTTGAGGCAACCAATAAGTATCTAAAAACGATAATCGAAAAGATGACAGAAAACTACCAGGATTGGCCTGACAAACTCCACTTTGCTCTTTGGGGTTATCGTATGTCAATCCGATCATTCACAAGAACCACGTCGTTCTCTCTAGTTTACGGAATGGACGTCGTACAACTTGTAGAGTTAGAGATACCGTCTTTGCGCATAACACTAGAAAGTAAGCTTGATGAGGTCGAATGGACAAGGGCACGGTATGAAGAGTTGATTCTACTCGATGAAAAGCGACTAGAAGCCTTACATCATGCCCAATGTTATCAAACCCGCATAGCTAGACACTTCAATAAAAAGGTCAAGACAAGAAACATCAAGGAAGGAGACTTGGTGCTAAAAGCACTTAGAAAGAATGTTCTGGACCCAAGAGGCAAGTTTAGGCCTAATTAGTCTAGATCATACATTGTAAAGGCTATCCTAGCTAGAGGCGCAGCTAAACTCACAGACAGGGATGATAATGAATTTTCAAATATGTTAAACCTTGACCAACTCAAGAAGTTCTACCCATGATTTAATTGAGTTCTATACTCAAAAGAGCTACGTCTGGCCTGATTCCTTAACAAAGATACGTAGGCAACCCTTTTTAAAGGGTGCGGCCGCTTTAATTTTTCAAAATTTCACCTTTTTACGACTTAGCATCGAATAGTAAAAAATCGCAGCAAAACAAGAACCAACGCGCCGCGATGGATATATCGCGCCGCGACGGATATATCGCGCCGCAATGAATGTATCGCGCCGCGATGGAAGCAGGTCTTTGTCGCTTCAAAGATGTGATTAATCATAGCTGTTTCAGATTATTTCAGAGATTTTTCGACTTCCGTACTCGGATTATTTTCAAAAAACTGCTCAAGTTGTTTTCATTGCTAAAAAATTATTCCCAATAATAAAGGAATATTGAAAAGTAAGAGCTAATTATTGCATTAGTAATTGGAAATTACATTATTAATGAAATAAAAGCTTGAAAATATACTTGAAATTAAAATATTGTCTAATAAATTGAAGGCAAAGCAATGCTCTAATCTGTCTTCTCCTTCCTAGCCCTCTTCCAATTCTTGTGTGTATCCTCTTCATCTTCTAGCTCCTTTAACAAAAGGGAACCATTAGATGATCTAACCAAAACCTTAGAGGAAATAGTTTCCCTTTAGCAAAAACACCAACTTTCTTTTCAACCCAATCCTTTTTTTCCTTAGTGTCAGCTTTCCTTTTCCCTTTGTCCTTCATAAAACTTGTAACACCCCAATAATTCTCTCTACAAGAAAACCTGCAAAAACCTGTAATAACCTGTAAAACCTGTAAGAGAATCATTGGAGTGCTACTGCAACGTGTTCAAACGGTAAGGCTAGTTTTAGAAATCAGCAGCAGAAAACTAACTTAGTTTTTTTTTTTTAAAAGAAAAGGGATATAAGTTTTGAAACTAAAAACCAAAATCAGGCTTTAGACTTAAAAGTTGGAACCATAAAGGCCCTTATTCAAAATCCATATAAAATAGGAAGTAAGTAAAATTATAGTCAAAATAAACTCAGTCTATGAAGTGAAATAAGCTAAGTAATTAACCAACACTCCGCTCAAATCCCATCACCCTGATGCAAGACAGTTTATGCAATAACCTGTGATGAATCTGCTCCCCAATATTACAAGTGTAATAATTGGATCATTACAGGGTCGTTGAAGGCGAAGGCCATGACCAAAGAAAAACACACAAAAGCACGCAATCAGCAACGCTGAGTACATACAAGTTACGAAATATAGTAAAGAGTCTTAGCTAGGGGTGGCAATTCGGGTCAGCAGGTCAGGTTCGGGTCAGATTTCAGGTCGATTTCGGGTTATGCTTAGAAACTATTAAAAATAGTGTAAAACTTAATATTATTACGAAATATGAAATTTGGGTCAAATCGGGTCGAATTCGGGTTAATCGGGTTCGGTTCAGGTCGGGTTCGGGTCTCTCTCAGTAACTTTGGGTCGGGTTTGGGTCGGGTTTTCGTGTCGGGTCAGGGTTTGCCAGCCTTAGTCTTAGCATGATACTATCAAGCATTCCATACACTCGCAATATTATCATTGACTTGAACACATGACTCAATAGTTCCTCATTACTAAGTTTTTATTTAAGTAGCATTGATCACTTTATTAATTGATTGGATTAAGCAATAGACCAGGTTGTCCCCCTGTGCTCCATTCCAGAACATTAAATAAGAAAACCCTATGCCTCCTTTCGGAAGACATTAATAAACATCCAATGGCAGACGGGCGCGACTCCGTGGCCATAGCTAGTATGAGATATCATCTAACTCATTATAATTTTAAAAGAATTTAAAACAAGATACTCGTAGATCAGACGACCTCTGAAAAGTACACTGCTAATACCCCGTGAACCCCAACCCCTGTTTGTCATTACCCTAGATGTGCACAAATCTAGAGTTTTATTGCTCATCCTTCTTGCACTTTACGTGATTTACCAGTTTAAATTTGGTGATGACTCATATGCAATAAACACAACCAAATCATACATCAACTATTTTAAAATCATTCAAGTTTCCAATTCAACTCTTAATTTACCAGTGACTAACAACATTTATTAATGAATCCTTTAACTACCACGGTGTATAAACACCTTAAATGCATAAGGCACCTCATATCCACAATCTTGTCTTATAAGACTTTAATTCTTCCTTTACTCATTCCATTTCAATATAAATGAACAAGTAACCAAAATAATTCATTCCATATGTATACTTGTAGCTTTGCCCCTAAGCTCACTTTGCAAATTATTGCATAAATAATGCTCATAAGGAAAATCAATGAAAATTTTCTCATACATAAATTAAACTAATCATCACATTTATCATCAATCAACTCATTACCAAACAATTTCAACCAATCCACAAGTTCCCTAGCATGATTCTAGGTTTTTCCAAGTCTCTAAACATGCTCCTAAAATCAAGGTTTCTCGTATTCTTATACGTACCTTGAGTACACAAATTGGTTGGCCACTTTAAGGCTAGAAGTCACCTTTTACGAAGTCCCTTCCTAAACAAAACAACCATAGTTCAATTAATACCCAAGCAATATATTTTACAGCAATACCAAACTATTTTAAAAATCCTTTAAACCATTGAAATAATGCTCTTAAATTATTCCCAATAGCCAAAGTTAATAATTTAGTACTTCAACTATGGGTTTATATGCTAAAAAAATCATAAAAATATGGCTTATAGGAAAAAATTCAGAAACTTTAAAGTGGTGTTATAAATTTGAAAATTCGTTTTAAGCTTGTAAAACAATCCCATAAACATTTTTACTTGAAACAATCATTGTATATTACGTTAGTATGTTGAGAACTTGAAAATCCGACATAAAACCATGATTTAAAGCTATTTAAAGTTAAGGTTAAAATCTGAAATTTAGTTTATAATCAAGAAAATTGAATTTAAACTTAATTTTACACATACTACAATTAGATAATTCAATCTTCACGTTCTAAGCCCACAAATCATGAAAAATCAACATTTAAAACCCAAAATCAGCTTTTCTGAAAATCTGAAAATTTCATATAATCATCGAAAATTAAAGGTAGAACCATATTTAAATACAAAGTAATTAGTTAAATCAATTATTCATGGTTTAAGCCCAAAATATTGCGAAAATCACGATTTTTGAACCCTAATTTCGTAGCTAGTAAAATCTGAAATTAATCATATACTTAGTATATCATAAACTCAACAAATTCGCAACATAACTCAATAAATTTGCAATATTCATCATGTATATATGTATAATCAAATCAATAATTCATATGAAGGTTAAATCTTTAAAGAAATTAAACAAGAAAAGAGGAAGATAGAAGAAAAGGGAAATGAAAGGAAACCGGCTGGTGGTTCGAGCAGCAGCGACGGGTCGCCGGTGGCAGCAGCAGTGCAGCGGCGACACCAGCAACGCAGGCGACAGCAGCAACGAAGGGGCAGCAGCGAATTTTTTTTTTTTCTGTGAGTGTCGTGAATTGTGGATGGGGAAAGGAGGAAGCAGTAGAGGAGTAATAAGGAGAGGGCAGTAGGAGGGTTTTAGGAGAAGTTTACTTAATTAGAAAATGAGGGTTTGGGAGGTTTGGGCTTCTTTTATTTTTGTAGAATTGGAATGGTAATCATAGCCCAAAGTGAGTAAAATGGTATTAAAGTATAAGTTATTGTTTTTTTTTTTTTTTGAAATCTTCCCAAAGTATTTTTGTATAATTATAAAATTATTAAAATAACCGTATACATAAAAATATATATAATTATTATTTACTAAGAAAATATGGGGGATTACAAAACTTCTGTTCTTAGGCATGATAGGAGCCTTGAACTCAACTTTTGAACCCAGACGATCTGTAGGAGGAACCTTCTTGTCACCCAAGCGGTCCTTTATATTAGTCTTCTCCGCACCTTTAGAACTTGTGTTTTGAGCCTTGTTCTTATCCTTTTGGGTTCGGCCAAGAAACCACTGTTTAAACTCCCTAGAAAAGGGAGGAGGAACCCTATTAGAGATAACACTCCATAAGGGTCTAGCACACCAATAGTCATCAAATCTTTCAAAATTTTACAACACAGGGTATTCATATGGTCGACGAAGATCTCCAGAAGGAATAGCTTGAGCAAGACCATATTGTCTTCTTACCTTAGAAGGGTAATAAAAGGTCAACGTTGACAAGCTTGGAATACGACAGAAAGGTTGACTGTTGACTCCAACCATCTTCTCAATTCTCCACCAAGGAATAATCCACTTGATAGAGAAGTTGTGAGTTTCAAAGATTCTATTCCACTCCCAGCATCCCATCTTAAAATAAAAGCGTTTATTCCTCCTCACAAGACAGTTAGGAGTATACTTCTCAATATTGTCAGGAGGAATAATAAATTCATGTCTTTCCATTAGCCAAATCTGCAAGAATAGAGACAAATTGTTATTACTTTACAAAATTAAATATTTTTGATTTCTGTAATTAAAAGTATTAATTTTCTACCTGTAATAATATTGGAGATCCTAGAAGAGGCGCTTAGGATTTTTCTTTACTTCATCTAAACTTAGCACTGTTTCTCCAACAATTAATGCCATTGGGTTTCTCCGAACGTCAATTTGTTCCATCACAGATGCTAAATTAGCTTGCCCCACACGCATACTACCACTAGTAAGCAGAAATTGGCTAAACATACAAAAGAGGAAAGCTCTTCTTTTATATATATGGAATGACTCGGACTTAGGTCTATTAAAATAAAAAGATGCAAATTTTCTTAGATCAACTTCAATACCATCACCTATGGTTTTTAAATCATTTTCCCTCAGATTATAATAACGCTCAAAGTCTTTGTAGTAATATTCACACACCGTGGGAATTACTGCAAGGTCTATGGAGGAAAAACCAAGAATAGCACCAAATTCTTCTGGCAGGGGGCTAATTTCATCATTACCTAGCCTAAAGCAATGGGTGTTGGGGTCCCAATACTCTATGGCGGTATGAAAAAATTCACTATCAAGATCTACTCCTTTAATGCCAAATACACCTCCCTTATGAAGAAAGTCAAGCTCTTTTCTCTCCTTAGCGGTCAAAGACCGACACCACTCACGGGTTGTGTCACAAAAATTCCTAGACATGATTACTAATTTGATGCGACGAGAAGATTTAGAAGCTGATGACTCGATTAATGCTGATTATGGAGTATTCGGGGGCTTTTTATAAGCAAAAATCGAAGCAGGAATCGATTCGTTTGGACTCGGTTTTTCCAGATTCATCGCGCCGCGATAATTTCCAGCGCTAGCGATATAAAACGTGTCTTCTTTTTACATCAATTTGACTTTGACTCGGATTTTTACTTTAATCTTTACTGAATTTCGGATAATCCTAACCCTTCTTACCTTCATTATTTCATCATTTCCCACAAATATTCAACCCTTTTTCACTAAATCCTAATTGATTTAGGGAATTTCTGTAAGGAATTTCAAAAATTAATTAAACTTATTTTCCTCTTTTTCCTTTTTTTTCATTTTTTCTTTTTCGGGAGAAAGTCGGATACCCTCCAATGATAATAAAATGACGGAATTTTTGCACAAAATTTTTAAAACCACATACATGCACATAAATAAATGCAAAGGAAATAAAAGATTGCAAAAATGTACATAAAAGTCTAGTGTATACATAAGTTTAATAAAGAGTCAATAAAATATACAAAGCATGAGCAAAGTCCTACACAGTTAAATCAAAATAAATATAGGAACAACTACGGTGCCGAAGGACGAGGAATGTCGAAAATATCATAGAACTGTGAAGTTCGCGGGGTCAACCCTTGGCCAGCATCAGCACCACCAGTCGTCGGGATAGTGATTGTAGGACCAGTCCACTGAGCACCTCCGTGTGGCCTATACTTGAAACTCCCACCAGCAAAGTGAGTAGGCTCTGGCTGCTGCGACGACGAGCCAACCTCGTACATCCCACCACCGGGCCGAGATGATGGACCAGCTCCAAAAGCACTCGGGGACTCGTGAGGAAAGAGCACTGGAGTACCATAACCAGGTGGGCTCACATACCCTGACGATGAGCTACTCTCATCCTCAACCACTACCTTGCTGCGCGCCTCCTCTCTACCAGGGATCTCCAAAGAGGTATGCCGACGCCTCGATCCCTCGAGCTCTCTGGTCTTAAACGAGTGTGTGGCTGAGGAGCAGGCTGAAAAAAATAACAAAATAGCTCTGGCATATAAAAGCAAGAATGAAAAAAAAAAGCAAATGCACAAAGGCATACCGGCACAACGCCATCTGTACGTTGACACGACGCTAAGCGACTCTATCTCACCAGCTACTACCGGAAGGTGTCCATGGCCGCTGCCATTTGCATCACCGTTTCGCGAGAGAACTGCAAAACAAACAAAGTCAGCAAAACACAAAATATATACACCAAGCAAGTAGAAGAGTGAGAGCTCACCCAGGTCTGATGACGAGGAATAGACTAGGACACTAATCTCCACTCCTCAGGGGCTGGAGGGATTAGCTCCTCAATAGATCCATAGGTCCTCTGATAAGTGATGGACATTCGCAGAGGCACAAACTCCGCGAACTCCTCCGACTCTTGTAAAAAGTAAAGCGATAATACACCGTTGGGGGCTACCGAAAAAATGACATATAGATAGTCAGTAACGACAAACCTCCTCCTTGCGGTAAGGTGGCGGAGTAAGCCGAGGAAGTAACACCTCCGCATAAGGACGGTCAGGATAACTATATATCTTCCAGTCCTCACCAATCGTTCCGGTAGCAGCATGGATCCGGAGTCGCTCCTGACTCATCATTTCACCAGAAGGGTCAGTAGGAACTACATGAACAGTCGAGGAGTGGTGAATGGCCACCCTCTCGGCCAGGTACCATACTATGTCGTAGGTACCCTAGAAAAAACGCCTCTTAACAGTGCACTGAGAAGCCAACCTAAAATCTCCTAAATCGGTCCATGGGCAATGTCGAACATCAAGGCGTTACAACAAAAAAGAATGAGTCAAGGATTTGTGATGAAATCCTAAAAAAACAAGAAAACCAAAGCTTCACCTCAAGAATCGCAGCCCTAATAGAAGCAGTGGTAACTAAGCCAACATGGCGTCCCTGCCAGCTAGCGGGGATCGGGTGCCCTCTAGCTCGAGGCCTCGTTGGCGCCAAAGAAGGGAAGTACTCATAGAGCCAGACTTACAGAGAGATAGAAAACTTAAGACTCGATAGATATGGAGAGGAAAAATAAGACTCACCAAAAGGACACACACCTCTATGATCTTCCAGAAACTAGAAAGAGTGATCTCTGAACTACACTGTCACTAACGACAGGCCAACCGCAATCCCAAAAGCAAGTCAGCATAGCCAAGGCTGGCTCAGTTTTGTGTGCTGATTAGCTGAAGATCGCGCACAGAGGGGAGATAGTGTAGTAGGACACGGCTTACCCTGTTAGGAGAGAAAGTCCTCGATAGGAGAATAGGAACAAAGATGCGCACTAACTGATCTGGGGTGGTTGCATCGTCATCGAAAGCCTCAGCAAGTAGCAATCTGTGGGATGTCCTCATGCTGGAGTTTAAACTTTGAGCCTCAACAGCAGCTCGGTGAACAATTGAGCCTAGCAGCTCCCCAGTCTCGGGAGACACTAGACTATGCATCTCGTCTGCTGGGAGTGGAGTGGACCGGAACTCTAGGCCAGTAATGATAGTGAAGTCAAGAGGGGTGATGGTCATCTCACTCTATGGAAAGTGAAAAGTGTTCGTGGTGTCTTAGAAAAACTCCACGACACCCCGAACTATACAACGACTCTCCCGCCAAGGATGAACAGCCATAGCAACCCGCAGAAGTGGAGTCAACCTGTAAGACTCTCAGAGATCTCTCATTGCATCATTTCCCTCAAATGTAATGGTGATAGGTGTATGAAATGATGTCGTTGTCGGAATTGTGACAACGAACGTGCTCATCGGTAATACCCAGTCGAACGCCCAGGGAAATATGAAGGGCAGGCTGGAAAAACAAGGTGTGCCCGTCCACTTAGGGAACGACCATCCCTGGCTAGTAAAAGCGCCATCGCCATCGGCGACGGGCTCGTCCTCTCGACGGGACAAGCGGGAACGTGAGCTAGAGCCTCGACGGCGAGTCATACTATTGTTGACATACAAAAACAGTAAATTAAAGGTTCTATAATATCTAAGTTCGCCTAGCCGCATGATACTATGTTATTCAAAAACAGAGTACAAAGTACAAAAACAGGGCACGATTTTGATTCGCAACGCAACAAGAATTTTTGAGCACCTAAACAATTTCTTGCAAGTTTATGGTAAATTTTACAACAAATTAAGCACAAATAGCAAGCAAAATCATCAAGAACAGGCCACATTGTACTCATAAACTTAGAGTATTCAATAATGGTAAAATGCTCGTTTCTTCACCAGATCGAGTAATTCTAGTATCAAAATACTCATAAAGCAATATAAACATATGAAAGCAATTTCATGGCAAAGAATTCAACAAGACTTGAGTAATTAGCAAGAGCACATTCGAATTTTTCGAAAATTCGTGAAGAATATGCTTGAAAATTGTCCCAGATAAGAAAATTTCGAGCAAAACTTACATGGATCGATAAACTAGGATGAGAGTGCGTCGATTTGCAAGAGATTTAAGCGAATTTGGTTGAGAAATGGCCAAGAACGAGCGTTTCAAAGTTTTGAGCGAAAACAAAGAACACGAACAGCAACAGGGAATGAGGAAGA